GCCAGAGCAGTGGCGACATGGATGGGGCAGCCTCACCTGCACAGCAGTTATAATAGCCTGTGTGTGGCCTGTGGAAATGCTCTGCCTGAGCCATGTGGGAGGGGACAGGGACCCGCAGGTGCTGTCCTTGGATTTTGAGTTTCTATAGTCACCATTTCAGATACATAACACTAGCCGTTGGCTAAGGCCAGAAATCTGCATGATGGCGACTCATGGTGGGGTTCTACCATAGGACCCTCCCCTGACACCCAGAAACCACTGGCAGCCTGGGCCCTTGCATCCTGGGCCGCCTGGCAATCTTGCATGCCAGAAGTATGGCTCAGTGGACGGTGCTGCTCTCCCTGCACTACAGGGACCTCCCTTCCTTCACTCCGGGCCCTCTAAAGTGACAGGGGTTCAGGCGAGGGGGCCCCAATGGCCATGTCCTCCATTCTGCAGCTGTGAGGATTTGAGGAATCAGGGGATAACATCCTTCTGTCATTTGGAAAGGTCCATTTTGTGGGGTTGAACCTGTCCTGCAGGTGCCATTTACTGGGGACATGTTGGTCACCTGGGGGGAGAGTCTGAGCCCCAGGCTGACCGAAGTCTGGGTGACCAGCTGCACAGGCACAAGTCCTGTGGTACCATCTGTACAGGACCATGGTACCCAGTGGATGGCTGCCCTCCTGACAGTGAACGGTGAAGTCCATATGCAGAAGGTGAGCCAGGATGGGCCATGGTTAGTCACAGGTCCTGGGGGTAAGAATGTGTGGTAGTGATGGCCTGCCTGCAAACTCAGGGCACAGGGCTCACTGTGTCATCCTTACAGCTGGATTCTACATGCACCAGTTAGGTTTTCACCTCCGAGAGATTTAGGACATACCTATACCACATGCTTGAAGTTCACACCTTCACTGGCAGTCATACCCTAGATGGTCTGGGGACAGAGGGACAGCACCAGAGAAGGTGTGACCTGGGGAACAGGTACCTGTGGGAGGCACAGGGGACTCGGCAAAGTCACCCCCATTGAGGTTGGGGCTGGGAAGTTTGGTGCTTCTGCCCAGGTCCTTCCTCCAAGACAGTGAGCCCCAACCCTGACACCCACCCTGACTCTAGCTGGGTGATTGTTGCTCCTTGGATCCTGGTCACCTGTTAAGTGGACATAGGTCTCCCTATCTTGGAGGGTTGGAACAAAGAGTAGGGAGGGTCCCTGTGCTCTAGGAGTTCACAGTACTGAGAGGCTGGGAGAGAAGGTGCCAGGCCAGGTTAGAGTGAAGACCCTTCTCCCATGACCCTAAGAGTCTTGCTGGCAAAGATAAAAATGCAGAATGGAGAAAAGAGAACAAGCACTTTTCTCATTCTTATATTCTGGTCAGGTGGTTAGCAGATAAGAAACAAAGAAACACAAAATAAGAAATATAACAACAACAAGAAGTCAATGTCTTTAATTTTAGAGGAAAAAGTGCACCAGAGGCTTTGTAGAAATGGAAAAGAATCGTTTATTGAGGACTGTTACAATAGGACCCAGGACTCCGCAGGAGGGAGAGAGGTGGAGTGAGGTCTCTGGCACCGGAAGCAGGAGAGTGGCGGGTACAGCACTGGAGGGCCCTGGGGGTTAGCTGTTGTGATTAGCCCATCTGTGTGTGCCAATTTGTGCTTATGGAACGGTGGCCCCTGTATTTCTACACAGACAGGTGCTTCCTCCTTGGAAAGTGATGTTTTAAAGGGAAGTCTCTACATCTGCCTCATTCTTTATCTCATTCTCCTTCTGTGTGAGCTGCTATTTAAGACAGATAATGTCTAGGGCTTCAGTCAACATGCAGAGTACCTACACTTCAATAATCAGATTTGGGGCTTATTTGACTCAGGGCAAGTGGCCTGGTTGTTGGGACACCCTCACACATCTCCCCTGCATCTCTGTCCACAGGGTGCACGTCTCTCATTGCTCATCAGAGAGGAGCAGCAGCAGCAAGTGTGGGGCCGCGGGGGGCTGCATTGACTCAGAGTAGACACCTCAGTTCTTTCCTGCATCTACCCTTCCCTGAATTAATAGATGCCCCTGGCATGCCAGCCTGGGATTCGATTCCTTCAGTCTCTCTTCAAACATTATTTCCTCAAAATGCAAGGGAATTAGACCCTGACCCTACATATATCTTGTCTTAATTCCATTTTGTCTACCTAAAATGCTGCTCTGATCCTTTTTAATTTAGCCACATTTTTAATACCTTGTATGTTTCATTTTATTGTTCACCATGAAATATTTTTCTGCCCTGTAACCATGGTCATCTCTTCATTCTTCTTCAAGTCCCAATGCTTCATGAAGCCACTCTCCACTGATGACATTCTTCTATATTTCATTTAGATTATTTTCAGTACTTTTTAAAAGGTAGCAG